AGGGCCAAATGAAATGCTCGTAGCCCCAGGAATGCTAAAGTAAATAAGAAACTGCTTAGGAATTTCCATGGGAATTGGTCTGTCCACCAAGACCAGAGATTCAGTATCACAGAGAGTTCCAAGAGACATCTTTATCACCCAAGAACATTACACCTCCGTCATATGCACTTCTCTTCCAGAAGCAGCGACAGAAAGAACACATGTTGTGTTGGTGTGAAATATTAAGAGCTTTAAGGACGACACAGGGCGGCACAGGTACACACAATGGACGTTAGCGTACAATGCAGATGTGCACACTCAGTTAAAAGCCAGCTCCAGCAAAGTCTGTATGAGACAAGCTACAAAACGCTGCTCACTCAATGACAACAACATGTGCACTGAGGACAATGTGTGATCCAGGGGAGATTCAAGGATCAACACATGTGAATCTGAAACATTTTATTTTGGGAGTTAATGCTATACACTGAGAGCAAGCTATTTAGTATTTTTAATAGGTTCTTTCTTTTGAAGATGTCTTCCACGGGTGCCTATTGGTACTATTATGATAAACTTTATAAGAATGGGGCAAGTCATCCTAGAAATAATTCCTGCCATTATTCATGATACCTGTACATGTCCTGTTCATCATCAACACTTTTTGTTAGAAGGGTTGTATGTGGCTCCATGGAATCCAGACACTGAGATGCCTATGTGTTTTCCTGTATCTGCTGAACTCCAGCACTCAACTTCTTAGGAAACAGATATGATGGCTTTCTTCCTTCCTTCCTTCCTTCCTTCCTTCCTTCCTTCCTTCCTTCCTTCCTTCCTTCCTTCCTTTCTTTCTTTCTTTCTTTCTGCTGGAGATTAAACCCAGATCTGATGGCTTTATTTATTTATTTATCTATCTATTTATTTATTTAGATGTTGGAGATTAAACCCAGAGTCTGGTACATGCTAAGCAAACAGTATACCAACGAGGTCCATCCTATCCTAGACATGATGTTTAAATTTCAATGAGTTTTCATTTCAATGCCTATCTCCTAATTGTCCAAACATAGAAGAAGCCATGACTGAGGAAATTAAGTCTTACACTTTTATTCATTAATTTATATGTCCAGTAAAACAGAACATTTTCATGTCCACTAATAAAAACACATAAGCTTATTCAAATTCTGGAAGAAAAATATCAGGCCTGAAAGTCACAGCTAACATTTGGAGATGGCCATCCTTGAAGTTCCAAGGACTGCACAGGAGAGATGGCAGGCTTGGGTTTCTGACTCAACAGAGAAAGGCCAGCTGACCAACCAGCCTCAGAATGGGAGAGCTTGAAAAGTACCTCGAAACACTGCCTACTCATAGTTCCTAATCTAAACAGAGGGTAGAGCCACACAGGAAAGGGGACAGTGCCAGCTGGTTGCAAGAATGAGTTTACAGAGTGTGGCTACTCTCTGTGACTTTTGCATTATTTCTCTTTATAGCTCATGCAATTTCTGTCTTATGATTGACTACTGCTGTTAGAATAATTCATGCATGAATAGTCACAATTGCTTTCTCTTATGAATTAAACCCTTTGGCATCATAAAGAAAAAGGAATGAATTAACAACATCAATATATTAATATTAAGTATGGGGACATCTATGCATATATGTATGCATATGTGCTATATACATACATGTATATATATATGTGTGTGTATGTATATGTATACACACATTTGAGGGGTAGCTGTATGTGGTGTGCATATATATGTGTGTGCATATATGCTCATTTGTGCTTATATGTACAGAGGCTAGCAGAGATGTCAAGTGTTTTTCTTTATTGCTCTTTGCCTTACTCTTGTGAGACAGGATCTCTCAATTAACCTGAAGCTTGCTGTTTGAGCTAGGCTGGCTAGCCACTGAAGTCCTGGGATCTACCTGATTGCAATCCCCCACTTTTGTCCATGACCAGCCTTTTTACATGGTTACTGGGACTTTGAATTCGGGTCCTCATGCTTACAAAGCAAGCATACTTACATACTAAGCCATTTTTCTAGGCCTTTCTTTTTATGCTTTTTTGCCTTTTTTTTTTTTTTTTTTTTTTTAAGATAGGGTCTCATGTAGTTTATGCTGGCCTCAAATTCACTATGAAGCCAAGGAAAATCTTGAACTACTTATCCTTTGTTTCTAACTCTGAAATATGGGATACAGATGTCACTAGCATACCTGGCAATTCCCTGAATAAGATAAATTATTCTGACTCTAAAGAAGTGATGGCATGTGCTTATAGTTCTAAATACTAGGGAAGATGAGGTGGGAGAATTACTTGAGCTCAAAACAGAACACTCTCAAACCATTCAAAGCACTGGAAAAAAAAAACACATTTGAAAATGTAATGGGACTAAAGATTACTAATGAGTTAAATAATATCCCACTTTGTTGGGATATTATTTAGTTGCTGACAACATGATGCTCTGTACTCTTACACGGGCTTTTCATTTGCTCCCCCATCAGCCTCACTCTATAAGTGGTTCCTTTGAATGCCCACTTACACAGAACAAGAGTGTGAATTGCTAGCTCCATGTTACAGCTGTGCTGCACTCTGCATGCTCTTATCTTCTCTCAGCTGTGCTTGGAGGACCTCATCAGAGAATCCTCTGCCAGTTCTCTGGCTGTTTCTCATTCATGACTGAGCCTTGGGTTCTTATGAGATGACTGTCAAAGTCAAACTGAATGCCAGGCAAGAACTGGTTCCATCAAGATGGAAACATTAAGTTGCTGCAGGAGCTTTGAGGGTGGGTTGGCTTCCACTTTTGCTTGTATTGTAGGTTCAGGAGGGAGATAAGTTACCAGCAAGTAATTTTCAAAAAGTCAGTTCTTCAAGGAGGCAGCTTGTGAGAAGTACAAAATCAGATAAGAACCTATCATCAGCAGTTGTCCTATGTCTTGTGAAATGCAATGACAGGCAAACCCACTCTGAGCCTAACGGTTTTCAGTAACATGTCCTCTCTGTTGTCAGTACTAACTTTTTAAAGGTTTTGTGATAAGTTGCTAGATTGGGGTGGCTGGTTTAAAATATTCAGGAAAATAAAACACAATTTGTATTTTTTTTAAGGGGACAGAATGTAGCATACGGAGCCCTCCACTGTCAGGACACAGGCAGAGGCTTCCTATGACATCAGATAACCTACACAAGAAATGCCACACCTTGTACAATAATTCATGCATAGTCACCATAGAAATGTAGAGCCTGTCTTTTATAAAACATTCATCTCTAAAATAACGCAAATGGTAAGCAATGCAAGTTATGACATGGTTCCTCTTCCAAAGACACACAATGTGGAAGCAAAACAGGTAACAAAAGCAGGCACAAAGGCAAACAGAAGGATCATGTGATCATCTCAGTAGGGGACATCAGGAAACCTCCATTTCCTATTCTCCTTCTGACCTAAATTAAACAAAACAAAACAAAACCTCACATTCTTTGGTGGCCAGAAAGTAAAGTTGCTACTATGAAATAATGGTCTTGACTTTTCAAGAGAACTGTAGATCTTACTACAAATCCTTCTGTAGCCAAAGGAACAAGGCATAACTGGAACAGATTTGATGGGCAATCCAATAGAATTCTAAGGAACAGAAGTGTGAGACGAATCTAACTTGCCCAGTACTGTCAAACTCACAGTCATTGATCAGACCCCAAGACTCAGAAGCAAATCAACAAGTAGCCCTTCTAATCCAGGGCAGCACAAAGATTAAGGCCACCTCCATAGACTAATATTTAGAACCCACTAAATTTTAGTTTAAAAGACAGTATTTTATATTTGAAAGACATTTGGAAATTCAACATTAATTTCTGAACACTCAAAATTCTCTAAGTTAAGGATACTGACTCCCAATTAGGGAAAGATACCACACTATTGAATGCCAAAAATGCTGTTTATAATTTTGTCTGTAAATTCCATGTAAACTTTAAATTTTATTTTATGAGTATGAGTATTTTATTCGCATGCATGCTGGTATATGAGCATGCCTGATACCCTCTGAGGCCAGAAGAGGGCATCAGATCTCCCTTGGGGCTGGAGTTACAGATGGTTGTGAGCCACTGTATGGTTGTTGGAATTCCTCCAACCAGGGTCCTCTGAAGAGCAGACAAGGCTTGTAACCACTGAGCCATCTCTCCAGCTCCCCACTTAAGTTTTATATAATAATCAACAAGTTTGCTTTAGGGACACCTTCCTCTTAAACATGACCGGGCATCGTGAGTCACCTGACACGGGTACTAGGAACTACAAGCTCAGTGAACTCACTACGTAGCTGAGGGTGACTCTGACTCCTAATTTTCTTGCCTCTGTCTTTTTGGGATTCCAAGCGCTGGGATTACAGGTGTCAGCCACCATTGGCCCCAGCAGAAACATGACTTTTGTTGCTTCTTCGTTTTTGTTTGAGGCAAGGTCTCACCATGTAAGGTAGCCTTGGCTGGCTTGGACTCGCTATTCAGACCATGCTAGTCTCACACCTGCTTCTATCCTTGTGCCTCCACCTCTGGAGCCAAGGCCTTTTTGAAATAGCCCATGATCACCCACCAGGAGGCACAGCTCTGGGTGGTAGGAATGGCTCCTTTATCTGGTGGCATTTCTCCTTCAAAGTCATTTTAGCTTTTCCTGATGGGTGAGACCTAGGCAAATTAGTATTCATGAGTGTGTTCTCACATATAAGTGAAGCATTTTTTTCTAAAATCCTATGCAGAACTTTGACAGAATGTCTTTAGTTGTATAGTGCTGATGGTAGTGGTATAGTGATCAGTGATCCTAGAAAAGACATAACAAAACCTGGCACAGAGAGACACAAAAGCATGCCATCCCTCCATGACTCAGCAGCTTACCTGCGTGGGCACGTGTGTATGTGCGCGGGCACGCACACACACACACATGCGCACACACACACACACACACACACACACATACATACAGATCGAAAGAGAAGCAAAGCACTGGCTGTGTGCCCATCAGACTCACAGAAGTGTGGCTCTTCCTGTGACCCACCTGCTGTGTCCCTGTATGTCCCCCAGCTCCTTCTGCAGCCTGGCATTTTTCTCTTCCTCCTCCAACAACCTCCTCTTCACAGTGCGCAGTTCCTGTTGAGCCTCACACTTGATGTCATTGGCCACCACCACTGCAGTCTGCAGGTCTGCCTGGAACCGCCTCCATTCCTCAGTTTCCTCCTAAAAATGACAGAATCCATATGTCCCTCAGACACTGGGCTGGGTGCTGGGGTCTCTATGTAGGGTTCCTGAATCCTAGGATCAGTCACTAAGGAAGAAGATTAAGCAGGAAGACTTGACTTTAATGGTGTCTCACTACTTGGAAGAGACACAAGAAATAACTCCTTAGAGTCATAGAGTTCTTTAACTAAAAACTGAATGATTGGTTTAGTTTCATTTCCTGCCAGAAGGAATGTACGACTCAGGTTTATGGCCTGGAGATGTTCTAGGATAGTGGTTCTCACCCTGTGGATTATGACCCTTTTGGAGGTTGCATATCAGATATTTACATTACGATTCATAACAGTGGCAAAATTACAGTTATAAAGTAGCAATGAAATAAGTTTATGGTTGGGGGTCCCCACAACATGAGGAACTGTATTAAGGGGTTGCAGCACTAGGAAGGTTGAGAACCACTGTTCTAGGAGAAGCTGGCTGGAGAGAAGGACAGGGTACTTTCCCAATATTTCCGACTCAAACAGGAATAATGTCCAATAAGAGATAGAGGAGGCTCCTTGTCATGGCTTACCTTTATCTGTTTTGTCAGGGTCTTCAACTGCCGTTCTAGGTCTGACTTCTGCTCCTCCAGCTTGATCACACTGCCTAGAAGTAAATGAGTTAGACAGGAGGTAGAAAGTTGAAGGCTCCTGCACAAGCGAAGCTGCAAAACAAGAGGACAGCTCCAGAGACCACAGGCTTACCGCCCACCCCTCTACAGCACGTTATGTTGTAAGGACTCTGAAAACAGAGCTGACATGTCAGTGGTGCTTACTTAGGTTATAACCTCAGGAGGTAAGTTGTACATACTGTCACGTAGCATTATGGGAGGAGGCTTCAACAGTCATACAACTGACACTCTTGCCTTAGGCTTCCCTGACAGCCTTTATTACTGAGATTTGGAGGGCTTTGGTGTAAGAGAGGAGTCTAGTGGTTATTACTCCTGTGACTTGGAAACTCGCTTCTGGAGTCGCCATTCTTAACCACAGTCACCCCTGAGAATCACAAGGCACAGGTGTGCAAGCATAAGCTCGAGATGGGCTCAGGGTCTCTGAAGACAGCCAGGAGCTGGGCCCACAGAGGCAACAGCTCCACAGGGGGCACAACCACCTCTCACTAATGAAGACTAATTTTGACCTCTGTTCTCCCTGCCTCTAGCTCTCTCCACACTGCTATCAAAGCCATTTAAATGTAAGTATCAATGTATCAATCACCAAGCAAAAATTCCGAGAATTTGTCTATTAAGGATATGAATTAAGCCAGGCATAGTGGTACATACTTGTAATACTAGTACCTGTGTCACAAAGTGACTCTGTCTGAAAAAAGAAAGGAAGGGAGGGAGGGAGGGAGGGAGGGAGGGAGGGAGGGAGGGAGGGAGAGAAAGGGAAAGACAGACAGAAAGAAAGAAAATTTTAAAAAGAGGGAGTTGAGGAGAAGGCCATGAATCATTATCTCCAGAGAAGGTTGGAATCCACACAGTAACATCCTGCCCCAGAAGCTCTGAACCAGCTTTTGGGGCCTGGGGGTTTGTTTAGGGTCAAAGCCACAGAGTAAGAACCCCCCTCCTTTGTTTCTGGTTGTTTTGTCTGTCTCTTTCAAGGATCTCATGGCAGGAAAGGATTAATCTAAGGCTGGATTTGAGTGTCCCTGTCTTCCTGACATAAATATACTTTAATAATACCTTGATATCCCTAGCAGGAGTTTAAAAGCTTCTCAGAAGACGGTCCGTGTTATTTTCAGTCTCAGATATATTATGATATAATCACTAGATGTGGGCCTGAAATTTGCTCTGGACATTAATTATACACTGGTTTTCTTAATGTGTCTGGGCTGACTTTGAAGGATTTAGGGACAATACAACCACATTCTCCACAGTGCTAAATCACAAAGCAAAACAAAACAGGACTTGTCTCCTTTGACCTTATTCTTTATAAAGAGGGTGCTATGTTTGGAAACAGACAGTGGCCAGATATTTAATTGCGTTCTCAAGAATGACTATTAAGCCTGGGTGACACTGAATGTCAATGCTCTACAGTCCATGACAAAGGCAATGGGCACTGTCACTCTGACACTAGCCAGCTAATCCAGGCACAGAGCACACAATCAGCTCCCCTCACAGAAACCACCATGCTCATTCAACTAGAGAACCCTGAGCTGCTGCTTTCTAAGGAAACACAATATTGGACTCCTGTAAGCCTCCAGTCACATTCTTCATCACCTGAAATACTATTTACATGCTATAGTTCTGCGTGCCAGAGTCCTTGTAAAACAAGCCAGTCCCATAAGCATCAGGAACCTCATCTGCCATCGTTTTTTCCCCAATACCAAGCAGGTACTTTTTTTTTTTAATTTTTAAAAAAATTTTTACAATTAATTTAATTTTACATATCAGCCATGGATTCCCCTGTCCTCCCTTCTCCCACCCCCCAGTCCTCCCCCCCCCCCAATCCACCCTCCATTCCCACCTCTTCAAAGACAAGTTCTCCCCTGGGGATTCAGCCCAGCCTGGTAGATTCAGCTGAGGCAGGCCCAGTCCCCTCCTCCCTACACCAAGGCTGAGCAAAGTGTCTTAGCATAGGCCCTAGATTCCAAAAAGCCAGCTCATGCACCAAGAACAGGTCCTGGTCCCACTTCCTGGGGGCCTCCCAAACAGTTCCAGCTCATTAACTGTCTCATTTATCCAGAGGGCCTGGTCCAGTTCTATGGGGGCTCCTCAGCTATTAGTTCACAGTTCATGTGTTTCCACTAGTTTGGCTATTTGTCCCTCCAAACAAGTACTTATAACATTTTTCTGTAGCTTCCTAACCTATGCAACCTTCTTGTGCTTTAAGTATCCTTTCTCTTATACCTTATGAGTATACAATGAGAAGGATTTAACATCCTCCTGGCCCTGGGTTATGTTATAATGAATTCCTTTGTCTTTGGCATTGAGACACTGTTGTTCATGACACAGTTGGCTACTGGCCTTCATTCCATGAATTTATAAGGCTCCTTCCCTTCCCATCCTTTCCATAGCTTCAACATCAATGAAGATGTATCACTGTGCATAACGGATATCACCCTAGCACTTTTCAGAGAAGCCTTAAGTTAGGATTGGAGAATGACCTTCTCCTCTCTCTGGATATACTGGACTGCTGACTGGTGACACTGAACTCACATTCATCATCACAAAAGCTCAGGCCTGACCACGGTTCTCTAACACACCTATATTGCTGCAAGCCACAAAAATATATGAAGTAGGATTTCAGCTGATTATAACAAGCTAATACCTGGAAGAAGCCTAGGGCCTTCCAAAGGTCAAGTTGAGGCTCAAGGAGTCTTGGTGATATTGGCTTTCGATTATTAGCCATTTCCTGCTATGAATTTCTTGTGTGCTACTGTAGCTTTTCCATCATTCATTGGGTACCATTTCCCCTCTACTAAGGAATATTTAGATAACCTTCTGAGCAGTAATGCAGCCAGGATCCCTAATTTCATGTATTTCTGTAATTACTGTCATTAGCAGCATCGGGCCAGGACCATGCCTGGAGGGACAAAAGTATCTTATCAGAGATACCTCTGTACTTTCTAAGAACAGACGTAAGCATCCAGACTATCTGTTTAAGAAGGCCTGGCAGATGTGCTAATTAAACTTAACCTTCTCCTTTCCAAAGTCTTATCTCTAGTTTTAGATCCACCCTTAACAATTAACTCAGAACTAAAGGGTTCCAACTTACAGGCACATCTAGCTGTGATGGAAGTTGCCTAGCCAAGTTGCCTAGCGACGGAGCACACTTACTAGAAATGACGGGAGCAGAGATAGCTTGGAGAGAGAAGGGCCAAAAGAGATAAGGGATAAAAAGGGCAGTTTTATTTTCAGAGAAGGATGAGATGGAGAAGAGAAAAGAGAATGGAAGAACTACATGGTTAAGAACTGGAGAGGAAGGAACTGAGATGGGAAGAACTAGATTGAACGGATGAAAGAGAGTACTAGAGAAAAAAAAAAAGACACTTGTACATAGAATATAGATCAGAATTCAGACCAGAAAGCAGACGTCTCTTGAGCTGAATCTCTGCTAACAACAGAGATTTTTCTGATTTTTTGGCTGACCTTTCACCTCTTTCTGCATGTCCCCAAACCAGGAAGGTGTTATGAGTGCCAACCTGGCGGGTACACGTACATTTAAGTGTCAGGAACGCAGAATCTGTGAGTAATGTGGAGTCTGGCTGTGTAAGCATGGTAGGAAAACTCAGGCAACTAACCAACTAATAATAACTAGTGCCATACAAACCTTTGTTAATTAAGTGTTGTTACAAAAGGAAAAACTCATTAGATGTGATATTTGATAAGGATGATCTGAATAAAAGCAAAGCATGTTTAATCTCTTAAACAATGTCCGTGTCGTGTTGCGGTGTCGTGGCCGCACCCCCGCCCCCACAGGTAGTAGTGGTGCAGGCAGATCTCTGTGGGTCTAAGGTCAGCCTGGTCTACAAAGCAAGTTCCAGAACAGCCAGGGCTGTTTTACAGAGAAACCCTATCTCAAAACAAACAAACAACAAACAAACAAAGGCTCCATATTCAAAGCAGTGACTTTATAAAGCCATACACCAATGCCTCTTCGGACACCAAGTGTCTAACATCTGTGAGAAACTCCATGTCCTTCCATCAATGGAAAGCATGCCGGACTTGACCACAGGCACATATTATTTGTTTCACTCTGAGCAGATCACCTAGCTCTCATGCATCAGATCCTGAAGACAGCACACCATGGACACAAAGGCCGTGGACACAAAGGCCTTGAACAATCTACTCTGAATAACACTCTTAAATCCTGAAGGTCATCCTTAGGTAAAAATGCCTCTCACAGTCACAGCTGAATTCACAGTAGGTTTGGTTGTCTAGTGATGGAGGCCTCAGGATGTTGCACACGTACATTTAACACTTCCAAAATGCACCTGCCCTCTTGCAAGAGCTGTGGCCATCTATCTTGTTACCCAGCGTTTTACTTAACTGATTCAGAGATTACCGCTTGTCTGGTAAGTGCTGTTCTCTGGGGAGATTACAGAGTGCTCGAAAGGGGGCTCTCCGACACCCTGGCCAACACACACGTCCTTAGAAACTCCTCACACCTGTCACCCACCATGACAGCGTCCACTCACACCGGCTGCACTTCTCCAGGCTTGGCGTCACTTACTTTCCAGCTCGCTAATGAGCTGATTGTTGTGTAACTTGACAGCGCGGTGCTGTTCCACCTGATCTTCCAATTCAAATATGGTGTCTTTCATGTCTTTGATTTCTGCGTCGCTCTCCGAAGCTTTCTCTTGCAATTTTAGGCTGGTTCTGCTCAGTTGTTCTGCTTGGTGATCACAGACCTCCTTCAGGTAAGAATAATCTTTTTCCATCTAGAGAACAAGGAGCATTGTCAGTTTAAAAACAACAACAACAGAAAACACTCTCACCCATCTGAGGAAGACTTGCTGGATGCTCTGTTAAGAGAGACACAATGTGTCCAGAGGGCTGGATTGATTCTGCGCCCCTTTTCACAACAGAAAGAAAAGGACTTTTAATATATGTGACTTTTTCCTTTACCAGGGCAGAGCAGGGAAATCATGAAAACCTGAGTGGCCACCCTAACCCCACATTCTCTATAGAGCAGCGCCCTCTGCTGGTGAAATTCAACGTCCAAGAAGCCTGAGCCACAGAAACCTCAACCTTAGGACAGGAGATTACGTTTCTTTGGAAGATACCCTGCATAGAAATCTGAGTGCCCCAGAAACAGAAATTCATCCCAGCAAATTAATTTCACCTGCTCAACTTTAATTACACACTTACATAGTAAGAAACAAGATAACGATGCACTCAGACTTAACCATTAAATTTTGCCATATTTGCTAAATCTTTTAATTCAATAAAATGTGTTAATTCCTGAACTTTTCCTTCCATTTCAGCAAGGAACAGGCATTGTTCTCAAGCTGGTGTGTGGTCATTCCTTGAAGGTTTTCCCACACTTATTACATATGTGTTTAAGCCCTTGATAATATACAGGCTTATTCTAGGTATTTTGAGACTTTACACAACTGGTCGTATGTGTTGATTTGGAGGTATTACACTGCAGTACGTAATATGTCTTTGTCTTGTACTAGACAATGCTTACTACACTATTTTAACTTAATTTAAATGTTAGTATATACAGATAAATACATATTACAACAGGTTGTTGTGTGTGGTCTGTGCATTTTCACATGTATGTGGGCATGTGTGTGGGTGTATGTGTACATGTTTGCACATATGTATGGAGGTCAGAGTCTGACATCAATGTCTTCCTTATCACTCTATGTCATAGATACTGAGGTAAGCTCTTTCACTTGAATCCAGAGCTAGCTAATTCAGCTACTCTAGCTAGCTTAGCTGGTTTGCTCTGGGGAGTCCCTGTCTCCACTTCCTGAGTACTGAGATTAGGCAGGGTACTATTCTTGCCCCACTTTACCTGGGTGCCAGGGATTCAAATTCTGGTCTTATACTTACACAGAAAAGGCACTAGATTATTTTAATTACTACATACTGGAAACCCACTGCCTGAAAACACTATTCTGTTATTATGAAAAATGCTATAATAAACACTGTCCCTTTTCTATAGCAACTTAACTGACATTAATAAATAGGTATATATTTACCAGGCAATATAAGCTTGATATGCAATAGATTTCTTTCTTTTTTTTTTTTTTTAAAGTCGGGGGGTGTGGGTGGGTCTTCACATCTAATTTTGTTTCCAGTTGCAGTTCTGGCTGGGGACTCTGTAGGAACAGGGACCTGGTCTATTTTATCCAGCACAGTGCCCAGCACCCTCTGCACCTGTACGGGGCTGGGCATGGAGAAACTACTTAGTGCGTATTTGATGAGCGAATGAATAATATACTACAAGGTGGTTCTGCAGTATTTTCCACTTGGGATGGTGGGATGGATAGACAGATGAATGATGGATGGGAGTAGGAAGAGCAACCTCAGGATCAACACAGGTCATACTGCCTGAGTTAAGGACCCACACTGATTATGTAAAACTTGTATTTCAGTTACAAAAGTGTGTGTCTCTGTGCTGTGGATATACATCACTGCAGGCTACTGTCAAAACTGAAAGCCAATGGGGTATACCGAAACGGCTCAGGGCACAGAATCTGAAGCTAGACTGCCAAGATTTAAATTCCAAAACTATCAAATCAAGATTTGTGGGGTTTTATTTTTTAATATTTTATTATTGCTATGTGGACAAGGTCTCTTTATGTAGCTCAAGCTGGCTTGGAACTCAAAATTGTTCTGCCTCAGTCCCTCCCCTAGTCATGGGATTACAGGCATGCAACACACACAGCTGAACCTTGTATTCTTTTATTTTCCTCATTTGAACAACAGAGGAGGTTTAATGAAATAATGTATTACAGTTTATCAGTGCCTGGAAGATAGTAAGCACTCAATAAAAACTACTCCCTTCTTCCACAATGGCCTTACGCATTATGCATAAGTAAGACATAATGATGTGGATAATAATATAATACAAGTCCATTCAACCAAAAAAGTTACTTACAATTAGTAGAAGAGGCTAGAAGTATTCTATCTTATCAATAGTTACTTTATAATATATAGAAAATGACTTTTTTTTCTTTTTTTCTTTTTTTTTTTTTTTAAGCTGAGGCTCGAACCCAGGGCCTTGTGCTTGCTAGGCAAGCACTCTACCACTGAGCTAAATCCCCAACCCTAGAAAATAACTTTTTAAAAAATGAGACACAGTCTGGGGGCTGGAGAGATGGCTCAGCAGTTGAGAACATTGGCTGCTCTTCCAGAGGACCCGTGTTCAATTCCCAGCACCACATGGCAGCTCATAACTGTCATAACTCCTGTTCAGGGGGTTCAACACCCTCACAACAGACATACATGCAGGCAAAACACCAATGTATGTAAAATAAAAAAATGTTTTTTAGATGAGACAATTCTATTATATTTTCTTTTTTTTTTTTTTTTTTTTTTTTTTTTTGGTTTTTCGAGACAGGGTTTCTCTGTAGCTTTGCGCCTTTCCTGGAACTCGCTTTGGAGACCAGGCTGGCCTCGAACTCACAGAGATCCGCCTGGCTCTGCCTCCCGAGTGCTGGGATTAAAGGCGTGCGCCACCACCGCCCGGCTATATTTTCTTTTTTAAAAGATTTACAGAGGGTTGTGATACACTGTGTGGATGCTGGGAACCAAACCCAGGTCCTTTGGGAGAACAGTAAGTGCTCTTAGCTACTGAGCCATCTCGCTAGCCCTAAAGCACTACATTTTAGATGCTGGAAGGCTAGTACCTGAAAGGCAGCAATGGAAGGCAGACTTTGAGTCCTGCAGGCTCATGGCTGGACTTCTCAGGCAGAGGCATGTCACTGGAGGCCAGGTATATGCATGTGACTAGTGGGAAATACTATGGATGTATAAACAAAATGGGAATATGATGAGGGGAGTGGTTAAGCATCCCGAATGAGGTGAGACTGCTGACCCTCAGAAACTCCTGTTTTATTTCCCATACACTGATTCATCATGCATGGGAGGGGACAGACGTGCAGACTTTGGTGAACCTACAATCAATACTATCTCACATGCACTCATTTCTTCTTTCTTGATATAAAATTTATCCCCTAAGTCTAATGAAATAGTCCAGAAAACTTGGTTGTTTTTGTTTGGCTGGTTTTAGGGTTTTTTATCTATCTATCTATCTATCTATCTATCTATCTATCTATCTATCTATCTATTTATTTTGAGACAGGGTCTCATCTTCTACATAGTCCTGACTGTCCTGGAGCTCACTATCTAGACAGACCAGGCTGGCCTCAAACTCACACAGAGCCACCTGCCTCTGCCTCCTGTGGGCAGAGATTAAAGGCGTGCGCCACTACCCCCAGGCAAAAAACTTTGTTTTTTAAAAAAAGTAGTTTTACCATTTCATCTCATAGGGACACTCACTGGATCAACAGGAAGGTGTTAATTATTTTCAGGTTATATTCATTTTATGGATTGACAAACATATGTAGGGAAATTATTCAAAAAGAAGAATGTGGGCTGGAGAGGTGGTTTAGCAGTTAAGAGCACATACAGTTCTTCCAACGGCCCTGAGTTTGTCTTCCAAAACCAACACTGGGTGGTAACTACATCTCCAAGGGATCGGATGCCCTATTCTGGCCTCCATGGGCACATTCACATAAGTTGCATGTCCATACTCACAGACACAAAAACAAACTATTTAGAAAATTCAGCATACCAAGCAGAGAACAAGGCTCTGTGTTTTATGACCACTGGAGTTCTAAGATGCTTTTTTGTGATGCTGGCCTTCTGCTGTCCAGCAATGCAAACTTTTGAATTTAGTTTTTCTCATTTGGGAATTATACTATCAGAAACCCAAACATGTTTTTTTTTGGTGTTTCCCTTGAAAAAAAGAAACCACTTCTAAGCACTGCAAGCATCTTTCATCTTCTTCAGTCAGATTCAAACACACAGATCACCAAGACTTCTCAGAGAGAGGACATCAAGAGTCCCCCTGAATTCACCAACAATGACAAAATCCAGGTAGCAACCCAGTCAGCCACGATCAGACCAGGTTAGAATTCTAGCAAGTGTCACCACCTCTTCCAAGCTTGTGACATTGAACTTGAGGGAAATGCACTGCTCCAGGCCAGTGTCCTTGGAAATGCTTGGAGAAGGGCATGTGCACACAGACATTCTTTGAGGAGCCCTCCCAATCCTCACTGTGAGAAAGACAGGGAAGCAGGATGGCAGAAGCAGCTCTCACAAGGGCGTCCACTGACCCCTCAGGGTGAGGGCCACACCTAGCATTCCCTTCATACTGCACCAGCTGCAAAGGCCTGGTCTTTATTTTCTCAATGGATTAGCCATGTGAAGCACCACCCAGGGAGGGCCATCTTGGAAGGGGCTCTAGTTGGGTGCTATCAGCTGCCATTGATTCCCAAAAGCTGGAGTAAAAGAGAGTGCTTTGGATGTGGGAGCCCTGGGTGCAGACATTAGAGGGTTGTATTGCCATATACATTATCTGGAGTCTCTCCTGCAGGAGATGTATGAATAACTGGCTATGATGGCTTTAGCACTTGGTAAATAGGATTACATGGAATAACTATTTCTATATGGTGAGTCCATATAGTCTTCTTTAGTTTATCATGGTAAAAAATAGCACAAAGAATATCAAGAGAAGATAAACTATGAACCCAGGCCTTATTGTAACACAAATCATCCCCAAGACAGAGAATGCTGAATAAAGCAAATAAGGAAACAAATGTTTAGTCAATACAACAATATCACCAATCCATAAGGAAGCAAAAATCCAGTACCTTAAAAGTAAAAACACGATGTGAGGTGCAAATGGAGTATAAACATT